TCCAGAAATACTTTAAAAATACCATCAGTGTCAGGCACTCATTTAACTAACTACTTTAAAGAACACAAGTGTGAATTAAACTCTTGCTGATCTCGGGATCTCTAATTGGAGAAGAATATATAGAAAAATCTTCATAGCACAAAGAAAATAGGCTGCTAAATGTTCCAGTATAAATTATATAATTGTATAAATTCCCACAAAGATGCAGGAAATCCTGACTTTGTGGATTAGTAAAGTTATTGGAAGAGAGAGCATATGTTCAGGGTCCTGAGAACAATTGGAATATCCATAGGGGAATGTGTAGGCAAGGAATGGTAAGAAACAAAGCAAAAATGTTAGGCAGGGGTGTGATGTTCCCATATACTCACATGAGCTACACTCGAGAGTGGGGAAGGGAAAAGCAGGGAGGTAATAGATGGGCTGTCAGGCCATGGAGTGCCGTGAGCATTATGCCAAGGAGTTTGGAGTATATGTTGTAGGCAAAGTGGAAAGCTGAAGGTTTGAGTCAGGGTATGACATGGTAATATTACGTTTGAAGAACATAATTTTGGCAGAGAAAGTCAAAGTAGAGAGAGACTATTCTGAAAGGCAATTACCATTCTGTAGTAGTCTAAGTAAGAAAGGATGACGACCTGAGCAAAATGAAAAGTGTAGAAGCAAAGAGCTGCCACTGGAATCCGGTGCGGATGCAGTCAGCATGTGTTAAAAATTAGAAAACTAAAGATAACTCCATGTTTTCTATTTTGAGCAATTTGGAGGCTTGTAGTATCTTAGGGAATTCAGTGGCAAGAAGTACATTTGGAGGGAGTAAGATGATAAAATTTAACTTGGGTCCTATTGTGATTGAGGTGCCAGGAAGACATGTTTGGAGAGATGCTGTGGCTGTGTTGCTTATAAAAGTTTGGTGCTTGGCCAAAGAGAGCAATTCTGCAGGTATCAGTTTATCTGAGGTGGTTGAGTCAATAAGTAAACTCAAAGGGTAAGCAAGTAAAAAGAGGGAAATTAAAGATGTGATAGAACTTGTAAAATTTCCATAGGTAACAAGTTGGCAGAAAAATGGAGTAATGAGGAAAACCAAAATAGTTAGGCCCGAATGAGTAAGAGAAGAGTTATGGAAAACAGTTACTTATAGGCATAGGAGATGGAGTTTCTTCCTAGTATTTCAAATGATATTAATCACCTTGCCTGACACTCAACACTTCTTATCTGGAATATGTTGGTGTACAGGATGGGTTTTAAAAGCTGATGAATGTGAAATGCTGTGGTAAACTCTGACACTTTGCAAGTCTTACATGTTAGAATGAGTGAGATGTAAAGACGGTGAAGAAAAAAAAAAAGATGTAAAGAAAGTGAAGACTTCCAACAAGGGAGAAAGTAGTGTCAGATGTTACAGTCTCAGAATCTTCACTTCTAACCCAGCTTGTTTGATTTGTAGTTCTAGAGGTCAAGTCAACAGTGCATCTGCCCTCTAATCACATAGAAGAGAATTTCCCAGAGTATAGGGCATGTACCCCTGTCAGAACAGGAGACAATTTTGGGTTCAACAGTTGTTAAATAGGACTGAATCACCCAGTGAGAAAGTTATTCTTCTGTCTCTTGTTTGCACTTTTGATTTATGCTAAGGAAGAAAGTCTCAGTTGGGGCAAATAACTCTTTTATATCTAATGCTAGTTAGCCCTCTTTTTCAGTAAAGTCCTCCAGGTTTTCAACAGTATCCAGCTAGAATTTAACATCTTAATGTTGAGATTACTGTCTACAATACATTCTTAGTTGGGAGTTTTCCAATTATGGTAACAATATAAAATTTCCTCTTAAAATAAGTTTTAAAACAAAAAGATAATCCACTTAAAACTGTTAAGTACAGAATTGCATAGGTTGTATATATATATATGACAAAACATGAGAAAGAGATCTTTGAATTATGGAAATGTGGAAAATTTAGAATTAATACAGACCTTTCTACTCTGGTTGCTAAGAGTGGCTCCCCTTAGTGCAACCAAGTTGGAACGATGTGTGAAATCCTGGATCTGAGGGCCTTGGAGTCTAGACCCTCTTCTCTAAATAACATCCTTCTCCTAAGATGTTGGATCATTTTTTGAAGCCACTAGACTTTTTTTCAACTTTTATATCCTTAGCTGTGAAAATGAGAGAATTCGTTTTGAATGACTACTGACATTCTTACCAGCAATAACTTTGATAGTTCTTTGAATGGTTAGTAACTAAACCTATGCCTTCAAATTGATAGCCATCACCCACAATGGTTCTCTTGTTTAAGCCATCAGTGCTAGAGACTGTTCCCACACCAATATCGACAGCAGGGAAAATATTAATGAATTCATTCTCTAATGATGACTCAGATTTTAACCTCATCTGCGAAGGACAGTTGTTTCAAGAAGGAATCTCTGCCTTAGTTAGGGTAATTGATTAAACTCGAAAATGAAATTGCAAATGAAAATTTGTTTGAATTTCCTGAGCCTAATGCTTTATGGTAAAACCTCACAGACAATCAGTAGTTTCACTGCAGTCGTATCTAGTAAAGCCCGTGAATTTTGTTCCTTAGTGTAGCGTCTGTAGGTAATAAGCACATAAACTTAAAAAAAAATCTCTATCCACCTATTTATTAATATCTTTATGTTTTAAGAAAAAGGAAGAGAGGTGAAGGATTTTCTAATTGGCTGCAGGTTCTTTTAAGTATTATTGTAAATCCCAAGTAACTCATAAATAAAAGCATGTTTGAAATCTAACAATATAAGAACCTTTACTTTCAAAGTCAGCAAAGGATGAGGCAATAAATGGAAAGAGAAGATAGCAAGAGTGTGTATAGAAAACACACAGTCTTTGGATGTGAAGTATTGGAGTTTGTTACCACCTTTTAAAGTTTCCATATGAATAGTTCTTCCCTGTGATTAGAAAGGAAGTATTTGTTCCTGCCACCTAAAGGATGTTATTGCAGATTGCCAGGGCAATCTTATGCAGTTTAACCATTTAAAAACTCTGTTTTCACAGGTGAAAAACAAAAAGAGACAAAAACACAGCCATTTTCCTGAACAAACTACTGGTTTTATATAAAATCCCGAGCTTTGCGGTAGCTACTTCTTAGGTACTTGACAGATGTTAGTTCCCAACTTTGAAAGAATGCTCCCTGAGCAACTGATGTTAGCATGTACTAGATTTTGGAAGATCATCTTGTAGTATCCTTCAACACCTGTTTCCTCTCCTATTCTCTATACAACATTAAATTTGATTTCCTGGTCCTATGCTTATCGATCACAAGAGCAAATGAGAAAATACAGTGAGCCACAGGAGGAAAAAACATGCAAAGAAACAGTAAAATAAAAATGATTCCAAAATTGTGCTATTTAGAATCATCTAGTGCAGGAGAAAGTGGCCCTTCATGCCTCAGTAGTCAGAGTATTTACATCTTACAGCGAGATACAATATAGGGTATTCCAAATAGTGATCTTGATTCATAAAGACTAAGTTAAATTATTTACACGTTACTTATTTTAGAAAGTGTGTAATACACTTGTGAGGAATTTCAACATCAATGGGACAAAATGTAAAGAAATGATTTTTGTATGTGTGCTTGTTTGGGTGAACCTTGAGCCATTCAAAACCGTTAGCTGCGGAAGTCAACCCAGTCTCCATGTGAGCCTGGTCTTACTGAAATAGCTTTTGAATGCCTTCAACTAATAAGCTCAGCATCCTTATATTCTACAGAAGAGGATGAGTCATTTCTCGCTCTAAGTTAAAATGGTATTATTCTGATGCCTACTCATGTTTCAAGAAGGAACACTTGCCAGAAACCACTTGTGGATTTTAGCAGAAGCAACTTGTTCACATTCCTTTTCCCAGGACTTGGTGTTGGGGCAGTTTACCCTGGGGGAATCCAGGAACTGGATTCAACTTCTCACGGTGTCATCTGTGATTCTCTGGGCGAGATGTTTGAATTGAGCTTGGTTTGCCCACTAAAATAAAAGTACTTTCTGATTATCCTCATGAATATCTTACGCACATGCGTAAGATAGTATAAACTCTTGTATACTGTATGTAGTATCTGTTGTATACAAACTCAATACCACAGATGTTAACTAAGTGCATCAGAACAGAGTCAGAGTGGGCAACTGCAGATGTCATGGAGAGAACATATAGAATCCAGTACCATCAGAGGTCAACCAGTCAAATACCAGAGCTGAATTTTTCAAAGAACCAGATAATGCCAGTTTTACGGCCATTAATAACATTTTTGTTATACAAACAAAGATAAGAGTAATAAAAAATAAATTCTGCTTCACAGTGTAATCTGATTGCCAGCAGAGCTCAGCAGTGGCTTTGCTCGCTGTGCACAGGGAATTGCACAGTGGACCAGCGAGCATTCAGCAGCTCCCTCACCAGCCTTCCATTTTTCTTTTATGGACAGTCCTCCGTTCTGCCAGATCCTTCAGCTATGCCAGGGAGGCAGATTTCTCTGGTTTTGCCTTTAAAGCTCTTTGATTGTGCCTCTGGTAGTTAAAGCACTGCATGCTCTTCAGGGCTTTTCATGTATGTGCTCTGCAGCTAATCAGAATGCCTGGGCCTACTGTTTTCCTACCTCTGTGTTGTCCACGTGTTTTGGGGCTCAGTTCAAAAACCAGGCCCATCAGCTTCAGGAGAGGCATGGCAAAGCTCAACTCAGAATGGGGTGTCTGTTTCAAACAGAGATTTTCCAAAGGATATCCTGTGGTAGATAAATCATTTCATTAGGCCAGGTTCCCTTTTCAAACCAGGAAGCAGAGTGCCTGCCGTGTAGGAAAACCCAGATAATGTTGTTATGGCTGTGCTCAGAGCACTTGTAAATATTGTTGTCAGTGTCTTTTATAAAGGTTCCATCGAGATTGCATTTAAACATTGACAGGTTAATTATGTGTTTTAAAGCTTTGTTTATGGAGAACTGATAGGGAAGCTGCAAAATGAGTCTTTCACATATCGTAATGACAGTTCCCCCCCACTCTCTCCTCCAGTTGATTACTCCTCATGCCATTCGTGTGCAGACCCCTCCTCGGCACATCCCTGGTGTTGTGGAAGTCACATTGTCCTACAAATCCAAGCAGTTCTGCAAAGGGACGCCAGGCAGATTCATCTACACAGGTAAGAACCACTGCCATGGTGAACGGAGAACTTCCGTGGCCTGTGGGGTCTTTTTATTGTATCTTATAGGCATAAGCTAGTATATTACTATTCAATCCAGTTTCTGTTAATACGACATTGTCCATTTCATGATATGCTTGACTAAATGAGTAGCATCTATTGTTATTAAAAATGTATCTCTGTGTGTGTGCTGAATGGCAGAGCTGTTGGAACAATTAGCCGGATGCCTAAAGAAGCAGCCTGGGAAAAAGAGAAGGGGAAAGAGGTGCGCTGAACACTCCTGAGTCTCTCTGGATGTTAAGCCAAACTGCTGGGGTTAGTTTGCTTTATAGAGTGGGAATGTGCTCTCATGGACAGTCGGAATCCAACTTTCTTCGAGTTTACTTGTAGCATTTGTGTTATTCATTTGGCAGTTTTCATATTTAATTTGAGCTTGGTTCTTTTCTCCCCCATTAAGTTGCATTTTGTCCTCCTGAAAATAGCGTTGGTACTTGGGCCAGTTTGTAGTAGAGAGCTTGGGTTGGAGAGGGAATACAAACTGTCTTTGTATTTTTTTGTATTCAGGGATTCAGATCCAGGCGGGATCTCTGTGCAGATACTTCAGGTGAATTGTCTAAGTACCCAACATGGACTGGAAAAGATCCCCACGTGGTGCAGTGTAAACCAGATATAGAGGGATCTTTTTTATGATTCAGATTCTGCTGTAGCAGAGACTGTAATTCTTACCAGCTCCCAAGTGAGACTGATGCTGCTTGCTAAAGAACTGTAGTGAAATCCTGGCTTCCTGCTTAGTGTCGGTCTGGGTATCTGTCTACATGAACCCATCCCAGATCTCCTACATTCATGCAAAGGATCATGGGGCCACATTTACTCCAAAGCAGAAGTTGCTTTCAAAGAGATTGCATAGCAGTGAAGGGATAACACTGTTAGTGCGTCCTAATTATAACCATACAATTAAATCGACAAATTTTATTTTGCTGTGACATTTTATCTCAAAACATCTTTCTCTTGTATTTTAATGCTAGGAACAAAACCGAACACGATTCTTAGTCTCTCTGTCTCAAAATTATAAAAACAATTAATGCATCCTGACCCTTGGAAATGCCTCCCAGCCCTTTAAACAAAATGCAGGTTTGGTGCCTGCCTGACGATTAGTTTTAGTTAATTGAAAATTATAGGATTGACCCAAGAGGAAAATTTTGTTTGCACTCCAATCACTTTTACAAATTAAGGAAAATTACCACAATTTTGTTTAGCTAAGGTTTCACACTGAGTTCAAGAAATTAGCTCAGCCATCCCAACAAAGTCAGCACTTTGTTAGTGAGCACTTGAAAAAATAATAGTCTATCTGGAGTTTTGCGGTGTATACAAACGAAGCATAGAGAAAGCTGTGATGCCTTATAGAAGTAGGCCAAGTGTTTTTAATTAGGCTCATTGGTTCAGCGTAAGTTTTGAAGAACAATCAAACTAGCAGATTAGCTGTTTCTTTTAAAGCTAGGATTTCTTGCCATTCATTTTTCCCATGAGAACTTCCACATAGCACTATTTTTTTTTTTTTTTTACAAGCCTCATTATGGGCCTGCAGGAAAAGGACCAATTGAAACTTCTGATACTGTAACATTCCCCACCATCATTCCACTGGATGGGAGTTTTTCACAATGTTCCTCACTGAACTCGGTGTTCTGGAACATATTACAAAACCACAGAGGCCAAATGTTTTCTCTGAGGAGTTTGGACTCTGTTTTTGGCCGAAAACATTTAGGCCTTGCTGGCTGCTTATTTACTCTGCTATTAAGCGCAAGAAAAGGAGAAGAAAAGGAAGAAAATGCTTGTGTGGTGGGAGGTACAAGAGGCAATCAGCCGTGGTTTCCGCTTTGGTGACAATGTCCCTGCCCATTAATGGTTCCATTTTGTGGTCAGGTCTCATTTAGAAGAAATTATTTTTAATCAGTGTTCAACAAAATATCCCCTAGAGCCACCTGGCCGTAAAAGTTTGAAAAAAAAAAATCAGCCCCATTAAATTACTTAACTTCTCAAAAGAAAATAGCTAGGGACCCATCATTATTTGGAGTTTTTTTAACCATTAAAAAAAATTGCCATCAATTTAAGAAATCACATCTTGGAAAAATCTATATTATACTGGAATTAAGATCAAACATAAATGCAACAGATTTGCAAGTCTAGCAAAGTAGTTAAGGGAGAGTGGGAAAAGTTGGTGTGTATGCACATGGGTACCTGTGTGTGACATTTAAAGTATGAAAAAATGCTCTGCTCTTGCTTCAAACTATGGGCAACAGACAAAAAGCCTTCATTTTTAAAATGTTTTAGTAGAGAGTATAACCTTTCCTCATATTGGAAAAACAAAAATTTGAAGAAATCGAAACAAAGATTTCTCCACTGGTACATAGTGGGCCATTAACAGTTGCTGCGCCATCACATCGTTTCTAGCAAATGAGAAGCTCTGTTAATTGGTGAATTACTTATGGGCCCCTTAATCATTACCACAAAATGCCCTTACCAAGGGTTGCTGGTTCATGGCTGGGGCTACTGGTGTGTGTGATTTACTCAGTTTACCTCTCTGCTTGTCACCACATACTAGTGAGGGCCTAGAGATGGGTTGTAAAACCTCCATGTTCTTTGTATTCAAACAGCTGCCTGAGTCTTTGTAAATGTATGGCACCCCTCCCCAGTCCACCCACAGAAGTTCACACTTCATTTTCTCTAACATCGATAGTATTTCAAGTTGTGAAGCTTTGTTTTCTGGATCAAGTCAACTGAACCTCTTGTTTCTCATGGAATGTCATTTGGAATTCTTCTCTTTAAAAAAAAAAAAAATATCACAGAGCCAAAAACTACCCCAAATTAAGGCACTGTTGCTGTGTTCATAGTGTGCTGGAGAGAGTTTGGATGTGTAGAAATGGAAGGCTCTAAAAATCAATAATCATTTAAAACAAAACCCTGAGGCAGAAGCTGTATGACCTAATCTATGTAAATTAAGGCAGACTTTTTGGGTAGAGAGGAAAGAATTTGACTAAACCCAGACTACTTGCCAGCTTGCTCCACTTGAGAGGGTGGTGAGGGCAGTTCTCCATCATGGCTCCTCCTACCAGAAACACACAATTCTGAGCTTCCATATGTGAGAGTCCCTTGTGTTTGCCCAATCAGAATCATGGAGGAAAGTGAATCCCAACTTGATTAGGACAAAAAGGCTCAATAGTGCTTCCCAGATCTTACTTTAGTGTTTTAGTTATTCTTAGGTAAATGCAAGGCAAGACTGACTTTAAATGTTGAATAATGTCTTCTAAAAGATGAAAATGACACCCTTTTTTAGTCACAGGGTTCTTTTCAAAGCGCTATCATCATGTGTTTGGTCAGTCAGTCTAGTGAGAAGTAAATCTACCATAACTCTGTTGCCATGTAAGGGGTCTCTCCAGTACTTTATTATTCTCACAGCTTGTTTTCTTGCAGTTGTTAGATCTTTAAGTGACTTGGGTCTTTTAGAATCATGATCTCTCCTGCTAAGCCCTACATAACCTTGGGAGCTGATAGAAGATTCTTAGGAAATGTCAGCTGCTTCTTTGAAGTTCTTAGAATTGGTTTTCCTGATAAAAAGTGGCCAATCCGACTTTCATTCCAGTCACTTCTCCGTAGGAGTGGCTGCTATGTCTGAGCAATATATGGCTGCCAGAATGAGCCACCAAGATGATGTTTGACTAACAGGTATGCACTGAGGGCCATACACTGCCTGCTCTCTAGAAAGTTGGTAAAAGGTCTGATGCAGGAATACCTAACAGTTCAGCTGTTTATCATTAGTTAGGTCACTTCTCAGACCCTTTCTACTACTGTTATCTTCCAGTCTAAACATTTTTCATCTAACTTCTGCCTATGGAGAAGAACTAACCCAAATTCCTGTGTATTAGTCTTAGAATTTACTTTGAAATAGAAGTTCTTCCTAGAAATACTCCCTGTTCATGCCTTGTGCCCAAAATAATTTACCAATGCATAACACATTGCTTTGTACATTGGAGGGGTTATTTTAATTTTTTGACAGGCAGAGTGGACAGTGAGAGAGAGAGAGAGGTCTTCCTTGTCCATTGGTTCACCTCCCAATGGCCGCTGGGGCTGGTGTGCTGCAGCCGGTGCACCGTGCTGATCCGAAGCCAGGAGCCAGGTGCTTCTCCTGGTCTCCCATGCGGGTGCAAGGCCCAAGCACTTGGGCCATCCTCCACTGCCTTCCTGGGCCACAGCAGAGAGCTGGACTGGAAGAGGAGCAACCGGTACAGAATCCGGTGCCCTGACCGGGACTAGAACCCGGTGTGCCGGCGCCGCAGGCAGAGGATTAGCCTAGTGAGCCACGGTGCCGGCTGGAGGGGTTATTTTGACTCAATATGCTCTGTAGAACTTGACAACTTTTACTGTGACATTCAAGTTTTCCTTTTTTTTCATCTTTCTCACCATTTTTGTTTCTCTACTTCCTACCTCCCTACTTCCACCTCTTACCCCACCCCCCTCTTTTTTTCCTTCCTGACTCCCAAGAACACAGTATAGCAGAGTGATTGGATGCTTGAGTCCAAGATGTTGGAGGTGGACTGAATTCTCAGCTGTATCACTCACTAGAGAGGCTATCCTTGGGACATTCTGTGACAACTGTGAACCACAGTGACCTGATCTTCACAAGGAGGCAATAATACCTCGCTGGAGTTGTATTTAGGATCAGAGAAATGTATATAAAGAATGTAGCTTTACACCAAATACCAGTAATTTCCACTAATAAATGGCAGCTATTATTGTTCATTCATTCATTGCCATTTACAATGGACTACTGTGTATTTGTTGTTATTTGCACCATCACTATCATTATCATCATCACCTTAGGACTTGGTAAAAAAAAATAACACCATCAATCACAAATAAAAAGAGCAAAATATGGATAAGGTAGCAAGAAAAAGAGGTTAATAAATGTGAATATAATAATTTGGTTATAATGGATATGTTCTCAG